CTATCTATCTATCTATCTATCTATCTATCTATCTGTCTATCTATCTTTAGATTCGATCTATCTGTAGAGTCCCATGCATCCCATGAAACATAGTCTCCTGTCTTCAATTAACTAGATATCCAATGGTAGCTTTATCTCTTTTACCCGTTAATTTGATGTAAAGATATAACGCTTCCTAAGTAACACGCAATAACTGTAGTGGGTCAGAATGCTAGTTGGATTCGACATCGTAGTATGGTCTCCTGTGACATTAAACGCTATCTTTCTGCAAGATTAATCAGCGTTTTTAGAAATCTCTCCTGCGAGATGTTTTTGAAATTGTTCCTTTGTCTTAAAAAATTATCTTGGATGTGAACACTGTTCACATTTTCCAGATGACTTGACATATTAGCATATTATCCACCTGATGTAAGAGAAACTCGCTTGCCGGAAATATGGTGAATGAATCGTGGTCGACTTTAAACGGTCTGAGAAATTCGGTTATAATGTTGCAAATTTATCTAAAAAGAGGATGTGCGGCTTGGAGGGTATTGGCGTACAATGAACTATATCCATTGAATTCTGATGCACTTTTGCGTACCATATCACACAATATTTTGTTATTCCTTTCAGTTTAAAGGGAAAAACCCCAGGAACCTGCTTTAATAGTAATAATGATAATAATAATAATAATAAAAGCATCATTTACATAGCGCTTTATACAAAAGTTCTAAAGCACTTCACATAAGAAATAGACAATAGAATAATAAAACCTACAATACCTAGGAGATAAGATAAGATTTAAAGAGATAAGTTTTTCGAGAGGACTTAAAAGCATCGACACCGAGACTATGCCTAATATAGCTGGGGCATATGTAAATTTTTAAAGGGAAAAACCCCAGGAACCTGTTTTTTCAGTTTCCTTTGTATGTATACCTGCAATCACTTTGGATTATTGTTTTCTTCCGAAGAACAATTAAGCACAGTTAGGAACTTTTCATTTAATCAACCATTACTGTAGAAGATAAGGATGTTCGTCTGCTGATGGAGACAGTAAAGGCACAAAAATCTGCATAAAGGCAAGTATATTCATAAGCAATACAGGTATGCGTGCAACGAACGGGTTATACAAATTCGCTCCAGTAAAACCCTTAAAAAGCTTTTAAAAACATTCGAAAACACCCACGCTTCTTCAACTGTAGAAGCTCTTGGATATATTCTTCCTGACGGATCATTACAGATGTGCAACGACATCTTCGCCAAGCTTTCTTCGATCAGAAAATCAATACAATTAGCTAGCCTAGTTTTTATCACTGCTTTCGTGTCAAACTTTCATTCATTTTCCCATGGCGAAGTTGTTTACAATATCGCATTCCATAAGCTAGCAGAGGACGTCTGTTTTTCTTGGCATATTCGAACATATTTAAGTTTTAAGAAAGTTCTAGGGTAAAATTGAACCTCATCGTGGACTTGAAAGACGACAGTTCAGTCATCGGTAGATCAAATGTTGTTTGTCGAAGACCTTGAAGACGGGAAGCATTCTGATATTGCTGTAGATGAAACACATTCAAGTGTTTGTCACGCAAGGCTGAAATCATTTCAATCTTGTTCCCATCTTGTAATTTTACAGCCACGAATAACCGTGAATAAGGTTTTAACAAACTTGTCAATGTGATCATTTTTCTTATTAGTAAGTCGTATGTACGTCTTAACTTA